TTTAAGCGATAAATTAATATACCAACTATAACTATAATCTGTTAATCACCATGAATGTTTTTAGAGTCGGCCTAGTAGCATGATTGAACAATCCAACTTGGCTGAATTCGAAGAACAATCGCGGTCAGCGCCGCTGGCGCCTACTTCTTTGCCTGCGGGCGATTGCAAATATGAAGTTCAACCGAAAAACCCGAAAGCATGGAGCCCAGTGCATTCGGTAGGCTCAATTGTCGGCACCGAAGCTCATCCAGAAACGGACGAGAGCGTCTGGAGCGAATCCAGTCGGGACTCTTGCATTTTTACTGAAGATGAAGAACTCGGTTGGGCCGAGTATGATGCACCATGGTCCTGGGTGAGGCGCAATCCTCCACCCACTAGTGGAAGTATAGAAAAATGTCCACATTTTTTCCAGGTTGAGGCTGGAACGTGTCTGCCAGAACTCAACCAGCTCCCAAACTGGTTCTCTGACTCCAGCTGCGGAGCAATGCAGGAAGAGTTCGAACATCCATGGCGCAACAAGATTCTGGATGATTTAAAAGCGCGCGTACCCAACAAGGTGAGTGAACAGAAATATCCGATATGGGATTTTCAAATGTTCGGGCTTGCAGGAATTGTTTGATATCTACGAACCGGCTGTTGATGTAACTTCATGGATGCACAAGGGGGAGGCGAGAGTCAACTTAGGTGGCATCAGCTTTCTGGATTGCATTTTGCAGCTGGAATGGATTCAAACCACTGGAACAGTCACGATTCTGAACTCGGACGGCGCCACCACTATGGTAGCAGAGGTGCAGCTTCGATGGGGCCAATGAACAGTTTTTTGCTTGTTTGCAGCATTCCTTCGCTTTAAGTGATATTACCTGCGTGCAGCTCAATAGTGAACCGGGAAGTCCGAGATTGGCCATTCACACTCCACGAAACTATCCTGCCATAGTAATTTTACAATTTTCAAGTGATGCTTTGTTGGAAGAGTGGCAAACACATTTAGCGAGTACTTGCGAGAAGCTGCGAGACATACAAGGCAAGTGTGCCGAAGAGGGACGAATTTTTGCGGCTAGATAATGTTTAAGGTATTCTAGGCAAGCCAAGTGATGATAGTATCTGGGCAGTAACCAAATTAGGAGACATTTTTGTTTGGGATCCGTCGAATCTCGAAAGCCATCAGCTGAGGGAGGACGATTTCTATATCCAAAAGTTCGACCTCAGTGGAAAGGAATGTCCGATTAAAGTGGCCTTACATGTTGGGTGCGCTCCAGGAACTATTTTAACATTAACAGGGTAAATATAGATAGTCATGTAAAGTTCCTCTTCTTAAATCTTGCAAGGATGTGTCTCGAGTTTTCCCAGTTTGTTCGGGAATGTTCAAGTTATCGTTTGACCGAGTTTCATTCAAATCAAGGCTCGTACTGATTTTTCGCTCGCGTGGAAAAACCAGAGTGAAAGATCATCAAGAACTGCCTTGGCAAAATAAATTTCCAGTTTTTCAAGTTATTTGATTTTCCCGAGACTTTTTACGCGAAAATTTACCGCAAAAAATCGCTAACTTAAACTAAGTTAAACATCGCTAATGTTTCAACAAACCATTTCAGTTGTATAGGAGATGAAGCCAACCGACTGAGCATAAATTTAGAAGCTCCGATAACGTATAAAAGTAAACACAAAGCGTTTGCTGAGCTGGAAAATGTATGCCTGCATATAAACCCTCGATTTTTCGACAATGCCGTGATCAGGAATTCAATGTCCGAAGGAAAATGGGACGCGGAAGAACGAGAGGGAGGAATGCCGTTCCTCAAGGGACAGGAATTCCGGTTGCTAATCCAGAGCACTGAGGACGCATTCCAAATATCGGTCAACGACAAGGAATTCACCAGATTTCGGTCAGTCATTGAAACGCAAATTGACCGGTTTTGTTTTGAAATTTTTCTCCAATTTTAGCCACCGGTTGTCGCCACATTCCGCTTGCATTTTGCATCTTAGTGGTAAAATGCAGCCGTTTAAGCTAGTGATAAAAAGTCCTGTGATTATCGTCGATCCTTTGGAGCTGTTTTGGCGGCAGATCGGAGGCCATCTGCGTAGAATAGAAACCTGCAATGCGGGCGTAACTTGGGGAATTGGTAATCTGGAAAGCCAACGGCGATGAGTCGAATTTGAATTGCAATATTCTCTTTGCAGGGTGTGATCATACAGCATGGGTCTACACTGGCGGATGGGGCGGAGGCGTTTTGGCGAATCTAGACAGTCACAATGTACAGCCCATGACGGATTCGCAGGATTATCGCGTTTACGAGAACCAACGGTGGAATCCTGTTACTGGTTATACCGCTTCTGGTATGCAGATTCTCAAACCAGAACACGCAGAAATAATCACTCTGTTTTTGCCTAGGTTTACCCACTGATAGACACATGTGGAGCGATGTTACGGGCCGTCAAAAGCGTTTAAAAGATCAAGTAAAGCTCCTATCAGCGCGGTGGCAGTGGGTCTCTGACTGGATGGTTGACTTTCACGTGCCAGGCGGAGTGGATAGGGAGGGCTGGCAATATGCGGTGGATTTTCCCGCCTCCTACCATGCCAATAAACAGTTTACTGATCTGGTTCGCCGGCGAAGGTCGGTGTTTTTTCACTTATATCACGCAAAACATGTAGTTTATTTCAATGGCTGTGTTCTAGATGGTACAGAAGGTGTGCAATTGCTACCACAGGTCCATGGCAGGAATTGGGCCACACCAAGCTGCTGGACGTTTCCTTAGAGCCGACGAATGATGAGGCCGATGCTCCTGTTGCAGTTTGGGCGCTGGCATCAGGCGGCCAAGCCATGTTTCGTGTGGGAACCTCCAGATCCAATCCATTGGTAAATAACACTGGATTTAGAAAGATTCAAAATTCATTACTGGTTTTCAGTCATTTATTGTCTCTATTTATCAATTAAAATACGTTTCGGTGTATTTTTCCACCATCATCAGTTTTTATGTGTAGCGTTGTTGCTGCTTTAAGCCTTGGCATGCATTTTCTTGCTCGGCAAAAAATTGTTGATGGATTGTTTTTAGCGTTGCTTATAAAAGTCTGGTGGCCGAGTGCCGATAGTGTGAGTGCAATTTATTTAATTTTTAGGGCCATATTTGGGAGCATATTACAACGGACCAACCATTGGGTAGCATCAGTTGCGGTCCATTCAGCCAAGTATGGGCAACTGGAAAAAAGGGCTGCGCCTACTTCCGCGTGGGGATTAAGGAGGACAAACTGCAAGGAGAGAGGTGAGGGAGTAGACAACCGTAAAATCAGACTTCCAGACAAACTGCAATTTTTCAAAGGTGGATTTGCGTTGAGCCTCCTGGAGGGGCGCAGTTAAAGCAAATCGCGGTGAATGCAGTGGGAATATGGGCGGTGGATACTCTGGGCCGGCTAAATGTGAGGAAGGAGGTCACAAGCATGTTTCCCGAAGGAACACATTGGCAAAGCATTGTGGCTGATCCGCCGGTTTTAAGTACGTTCTAAAAATGCATAGAATGTTTGGAAAAATACAATTGATTTCTTAGATGCGGCACCTCACACCAAGGGCTTTAAGCATGTTAGTGTAGGCAAAACAGAAGTTTGGGCGATTACTGATGGGGGAACTGTGATACGACGAATCGGAATCTCCGCAAGCAATCCAGCAGGGTCCGGATGGGATGTTGGAATTGCGGTAAGTGATTTTTGTCAATGTCTGATGCCTGCGTGATAACAACGTTTTTCCTTCAGGGCAATTGGCAGCATATAAGTATTAAAGGGTTCAGATAGACCCACTTTGGTGGCACGGTTATAGCAGGCTTTTTAATAGCTAAAAAATCGCCGATTGTAAGTACCTCTATCCTCTATCGTTTATATACTAGCTGATAAGTGGACGTGGGATATTTTCGCCAATTACGCGCTTAACCAGATTTATCTTATTAAGGCAAAGCTTAACCATATCGCGGAAAATGAAATTGTCTAGTCACTTTTGAGCCAGAACTCCATAAGCGATTAAATTCCATTTTACGAGTTTTTTTAAACCAATTATAAATTACATTTAGGAATGTTTTCCGGGCTTTGAAGCCGTGGTCTATCGGAATTTCTTCCTCACGTTTCGTCCACAACTGCGGTGGACATTTTCAAAGG